CTGCTTCTTTGCTGGCTTCCTATAAGCAAGAACAGGGAAGTTGGCAGGAGGTCCCAGTTGGTGGCCATGCGACATCCTCATTTAACAATCCAGTGATTCACTTAATGACGGTGAGCAGAAGTGCTGGAATTTCTGTTGGTCAGTGGTCCAAGACATAGTACTTTTCAACTGCATTGCTTAACGACAGAAATTCTGGTCCCAATTACATTATTGAGTGAAGACTAATGTAGTTTAAGGCAAAATCAAGGCCTTTTGGTCTTTATGCATTTTTTAATAAACAGCATTTATTTCAAATACAATGAATTTCTCTTAGCATTCATTACCAATTGAGCTAATCCCATATGCTGTCTCCAAGAAAACTATGATTTCTTCTTTTTTTAGACAATGGGAAGTGCTGCTATTGAATTATTTACTATTCTTTCAGAACTCGACATATATTCAGGAGTAAATCCTCTAACAGGGTTTGCTGATGAATTAAAACCCAGTCTAGCATCTTCTACATATGTTAAGAATACCGTTCTTTGACTAAATGGTTGTATTAGCAGCCCACTATCAGGCCTTGAAGCCACTTGAGACCGGGAGGCAAAAATGGCAGGTGAGCACATGTGCGCGCATCCCCACTTGCACAAGAAGTGGGAGAGCGTATGCATGTGCACTCCCATTTCTACAAGCAACTTTGCTCACACAAATGGAGCTGTGCGCATGTGCTTGCTTGCCTGCCACTTTTCCTCCTGCCACCGGGCTGCAAAACCAGAAAGGTTGGGGAACTCTGTATTAGACTATAGATCCCATCATTTTTAGCTATGGTTGATGGGCACTATAAATATTTTGGAATATACCAGAGAGAAAGAATGATAAAAGTATATAATTCCTGTTCATATCATCTTGTCTATCCTGGCTTTTCTAAAAGTAAAACCTGTTTAGGTCTTTAGCCATCAGCCCTACTGCCCTGCTTACATACACAAATAAAACTCAAAAGTCAACACACAGATGATGTGCTATATTTTTTTGGAAACATATTTATAAACAATTGTTCTTGAAGACATTAGTTTGACTTCCTGGACAAAAATTTGGAAACAAGTTGCTAACTGCAATGATAAATGTTCTAGTCTGGTGTAAAGATTAAATAACTGATTCAAAGTAAAACCAGGCATAAGGACAGGGAGAAAAATCTTACCTTGGGAAAAAGACTGCCATGAAGATTATTATCTCTGGACATTTTTCCATAAAACATCTTGGAAAGAAAATAACATTTCCTTTCCCTAATAAATTGCCCAATAAATTCTTAATTAGCATATTTTTTCTTAAACCAAAATTAGAATAGGGATGTGTTAAAAATTGCGAATATATGGGTTTGTTGGTAAGAATCATACGATTCTTTTCAAAGAGCTTCAAAATTGTCTAGTATTCAAGCTTCTATTGACAGATATTTCTTTAATCTTTAAACCATCCAGTTTTTCCAAACTGCTGTTTTCCCTGTATGTAAAACATGATGATGAGAACTGCTAGTTTCTCATTTTCATTACTTTTTCCACCGTAGAGTTTTTGTGTGGCCTTCTGAAGGCCACCAGAGGACGCCAGTACTCTTTTGTGCACACCATGTATCTAAACACAACAGGCACAAGCAGACCAATAAACAAGTGTTGCTTTACTTTCCTACTTGTTATTTAATGTTCATGCCAACACACCCATTACTGTCTAGAGTAACACAGAAGCTGAGCCAAGACAATTTTGCTTTTCACTTACAGACTCACACGGTACTCTACAAGGTTTCTTCCTCTCCCCACTCCCCATTGTACAGTGGATTTTTCCAAAAATTGCAGGGAAAAGAGGAGCTATGGCAAAAATCATTATTTATCTCCAGCAGTTTTTGAATGAGCAGGTTTTGTTCACAGAAATGTTGCTTTGAAGCCAGTCAAACTGGTCATATGAAGGGATCCCTATTACAATACAATACAATACAATACAATACAATACAATACAATACAATACAATACAATACAATACAATACAATACAATACAATACAATACAATACAATACAATACAATAATAAAATAAAATAAAATAAAATAATAAAATAAAATAAAATAAAATAAAATAAAATAAAATAAAATATAAAATAAAGCCCACTCTAACAACATTGCCAAAAAGGCATTAAGAGTTGTAAACCTAATCTTGCGTAGCTTCTTCTCCGGTAATAGTACAGTATTTACCAGAGCATACAAAACATTTGCTAGACCAATTCTCGAATACAGCTCATCTGTCTGGAACCTGCACTAAATATCTGACATTAATACAATTGAACTTGTCCAGAAATATTTCACAAGAAGAGTCCTCCATTCCTCTGCTCGCAACAAAATACCTTATGCCACCAGACTTGAAATTCTGGGCTTAGAAAACTTAGAACTACACCGTCTTCGGTATGACCTAAGCATAGCTCATAAAATTATCTGCTACAATGTCCTACCTGTCGATGACTATGCCAGCTTCAACCACAACAACACATGAGCACACAACAGATAAAAATTTAAGGTGAACTGCTCCAAACTCGATTGCAGAAAATATGACTTCAGCAACAGAATGGTCAATGCCTGGAATGCACTACCTGGCTCTGTGGTTTCATCCCAAACCCCCCAAAATTTTAACCTAAGACTGTCTACTGTTGACCCCATTCCTAAGAGGTCTGTAAGGGGTATGCATAAGAGCACCAGCGTCCTACCGTCCCTGTCCTAATGTTTCCTCTATTCGTATCTATTTTATGTATTCAATTCATGCTTATACTTATATATATTACCTAATACGTTCTTGACAAATAAATAAAATAAAAACAATGTTTTCAAATGTAGCCCTGAAATAGAGCATGATACAAATGTACACTCTTTGCAGGCACACAGATCATATACTTCATATATTCAATAGCTATGCCCACATGCACTTCACAAGCACGTATAAGATTCATAAAGATGTTAGAATACATCACAGATTTTTCTCCTTTCTGGCCCCCAAGGCCTCCCTATTCTTCTAAACCACCTATCAACTCATCCTTTGAAACAAGCTGTAATGAGTTCTCCTAGCTTTACATACACACACATATATACAAGCCACACAATTAATGGCAACCTCACAGCATTCAATCTTATCCTCGCTCTTCACTATCTTACACCCACTCCCCGGCCCCCCTTCCTCCACCTTTCTACCCTCTCCAATTTGTCTTCTGCAACATTATTAGAGCAGAGGCTCATTTAGAAATAGCAGCAAAGGCACCATAAAATTGAGAGGTTAAGATTACCTTGTTTCCACCACTGGCTTGATGGAACTAAATTCTGGGCATGGAAATTAAAAAAGATAGTTTAACCACTAGATGGGACTCGTGCTGCAAAGATTGATGCTGCTGCTACTGCAAACACTTTTTTTTAAACTTAAAAATAGAACACAGGTTGTAAAGTTCAGTAGTTCACCTACTGAAGCAGCCACAATTAACGAGAAACAGATTGAAGTAGACTTTTCAGCTTTATGTTTTAGGGGAAAATAAGGTACTTTCAAACAGAACAAAAAGGCTGAATAATGGTTCTTATGCAAAATTGAAATCAGACAGATATAGAAGCAGAGAATACATGTTGGCAATGGTTTCTCTAGATTAAGTCTGGTTGTTGTAAGATTTCCACTAAGTAAACCTAAAACTCTGTGTATCCAAAAATGGAGAGGCAAAGGCTCTCTGTGGTATATTTTGCAGGATTATGAATATTCCCTAACTGTCATTTTTAGTTTTGATATTAGCTGGGAAGCAAAGCAAGGACTTTGTACAATGAAGAAAAAAGTCCAATGACAATATTTACCACAGTTCCTAAATTCACCATCATTACATCTAAAATATATACCAATGGAAATTATCATCATCATCATTCTAGCCATTGTCTGTACTACAAGATGAAAGCCTCTTCTGCGTGTTTCCAACCTATACTTTTCTTTTACCAATTGGGCCCACAATAATTTGATGTCGTCAATCCATCTCGTTTTAGATCTCTTTCGTGGACGCTTTTTATCAAGTGAGGTCAATTCTATGTCTATGACCAATAAGACCAATTTTATTTGTTTATGACAAATTTTATTTGTTTATGACAAATTTTATTTGTTTATGACAAATAAAATTGATAAGTATTACCTCATTTCTTTGACATCAGTTTTGATTATTTACTGACGTCTCAATATGTTATCTACAGATTTTTGTTTTTGCAATAACTCTGTGATTATCAGTCTTCAGCCATATCGCAATCTAATTATACAGTACACTCAGATACTAACCCAGATCTGGGCATTTTACAGCCTGTGGGCCATATCTGGCCCTTTCTCCCTGTCCAGCCCACAGCGGCAATGTGGGGCAGCAATGACAGCTGTCCTCCACAACAGTCCTAATTTCTCATGTGGCACCTTGGGAAAATTAATTGCCCACCCCTGTTCTCAGCCATTAAGCAAAAAGGAAATTCAAATTCAAAGCTGCAGTTTTAAACTGACCAAACGTATAGTGATATCAATGCTTTTTCAATTTCAATTGAATATATTAATTTTTTAAGATTAAGTGCATTTATTTTTAAAAATTCCTACTCTTTGGAAGCCTAACTGCACTACAACCTGCTCAGGTACAAAATTCACTGAGCGTCTTCAGCTCCATCAACATCTCGCCTTCTAACCTGTCAGGAATATTGGAACAATAAAATGAAGAATGAAAACACGAACTCCTTGATGGTAGGTTATTATACAAACATCAGAATTAAAACACACACACACACACACACAATTGCATATAACTGCATTACTTTTTACAACCTGCAAACCAGAGGAAGTCACTGAAACTAAGATTGAACACTCATATAGATGCCAAGTTTTAGAGAAGCTGCTGCTTCTGAATGTCTTTGGGGACAGCCCCACATATAAAGCATAATAGCATAGAGGGCAGACAAATAATGGCACAGACTTCACATTTGCAACATTATCACTTACAATATTTAACTTGATGCTAGAAACAACTTTCTCCCGGGCAGGCAAAGCTGAGGGCAGTTCCAAGATGCAAAGTTCACCTTTTAAGAGAAGAAAAGGCCACTGTCATTAGAATATATTCACTAAACTTCAACTTCCATATTCTTCTGCTTTTGCTTAGAAAGTTCTCAGCTGTTTTTCCATCTTGTGCATCTAAAATAAACATTTCAGAGAAGAAAGAGGCAACATACTGGGATAAAAAAGAAGACCCACTCAATGGTTCATTTCTTTTCACTATTTTAGTGAACACGAATTTATTTATGTAATTTTAAAAGTGACATATTTATCATCATTCTTTTTCATGAATTTTTTAAAAATGGAAAAGCCAAAGAAAGAAGCAGAAGCAGATCTACCACTGACCATCTACTTACTGGCTATATGTGCAGCATACTAACCGTCATGTGGTTTAACTCCTTTTGGCTTATCATGTTGCGTAAATTCAGTCATTTGAGGTTTGTTGAATTAACTATAGTTAAACTGTGACTCAACTTCTGCATTCAAATATTTGAATGCTAATCATAAAGTGATTTTTTTTTTTTGCTTTCTATAGTGTGCGAACCCATCTGAAGAGAGAAACTATGGTTTACAACACATACTAATATAGCCATATTTCTTTCTTTTAATTGAAGGAGCAAAATTCAAATGTAAGGAGTTAGTTGCTGTCCAACTTATCAGTTAATGACAAGGAACAACTGCTTTTTTTTAAAAAAAGAAATATTTAACAGAAGATTCTTATTTCTATAGCAATCTACTGGGGCAAAAGATAGCAAGCAACATTTTACTGTCAAATACTTTCGGCCATTCCCCAAAATATTCAATTAAAAACTAAACCAGAAGCCATCATATGCAAACACTGTACTTATATCAGCTGGCACAATATTTGTGGAAGAGAGAAGAAACATTGATGAACTGGTACCATTTTAATGTTTCATTAGGATCCATCTCATTTTTAATTTAATATTTTAAAAATAAATTGGTTGTGGGTGAAACCTTTTTTCTAGAATGTTGGTAAAAGTAAGTATTTGTAGGGGACAAATTAATAAATTTTATGCTGCATGATGTAATAGCAAAGGAAGGTGAATGAACTGATATCCTGTTGATGAAATACCTTTTGTTTGTACATTTTAAGCCAATCAATCTTACTGTCCCAGCATAGTTAAGCGAAGAGAATGCAGTTAGTAATTAACCCTACTTTGAATGGTCTTACCCCCAAAACTACCAATTTATTTATATACAGCTTAAAAAAGGCGATTCCCCAAAACCTCTACAAATGTCTTAGTTTTCTATTTGTAAATAAAGTGCTTAACAACTCGTTGTGAGGAAAAAAGGACAGTTGTAAATAAGACCTGGGGTAATAAATGGACGTTGATTCAGAAATGTAGGCTGAGAAAAAGTCCAGTTAACCTAGGGGACATATCTTTTATGTTCAGGACAAATAAAACTGAAAGAATGGCAGATTCTCTCACCCATCCCCAACTTCCCAAAAGTAGAGATAAACACCACCGCCCCCCCCAAAAAAATCCTTGAAATGGTACACAAGAGAGTTCACTAAGAAGGTACTGTACAACTATTGTTATTTTTTAATCTTGACCTGATTGGCCATTCCTGTCCACCCTGAAGGCTTTGGTTCTGTGACAATCCCCCTCAAACAGATGCCTCCAAAGCATCTGATAAATTGGCCCTATGCTGAATGGCCTGAATGGATGAAATTCTTCTCCCCACCCCATCCCCCAGCCTTTCCCATGTAATCTTATTTATACAATATCACAGCTGGCAATAAACTAGACTGAGCCTTTATCATTCCAAGGGTTTTTAAGAACAGATGTTTAATCGTTACAAAGTTTATGAATTGCTGATTAGACCCAGGGCATTAAAAATGTAGGATTTTTCTTAACTAGGCATACAGCTGGTTTTCAATTATCCTTTTCATTCTGTGAAATTGTGGCTAGAGAGAAGGAAGGAAGGAAGGAAGGAAGGAAGGAAGGAAGGAAGGAAGGAAGGAAGGAAGGAAGGAGCGATTTTGGGTTGGAAGGGAAGAGCTATCTATCCTTATTCCAGAGGTGGCCCAGATTTTTTCCTATCATTCTATCTGTAATAAATTGTAAGCATGTGCTGAAATCCCAAGGCTTACTAGAAATTTATCATCTTTACCACTATATTCCAAAAAAATTGAGGTCTGTTCTCAGAAAGCAGGAGGAAGAGTAAGGGGGTGACTGCTTTTAACATCTAGGCAGGTGGTCAAGAGGACCTCTTTTTAACCATCTTTGCTTTCAATAATTGGTTGTACACCCTCCAACCAACAATAACTTGCAACTAAACATTTCCAATAATGATCAGTCCTAGAGGGGTGCAGGAGGCCGAGTGCTGCCTGTCACACTCCCTGGCCATGCCCACCATGGCCACACCCACCCACCCAGTCATTAGGGCAGAAAGCCGGTTGTTAAATTATTTGAATCCCACCACTGCCCGTGGCCAATGGGTTGCATACAGCCCTGGACAGCTAGTAATGTGGCCCCACATTTTAACATTATGTAATTTATGTACATTATATATTTTATATGCAGCCCAAGATAACTCTTCTGCACTCAGTGTGGCCCAGGCAAGCCAAAAGATTGTACACTTATGCTGTAGATGGCCAGCAGTATTATTTCTGGAGAGTAGTAGATTCCTCCTTGACCTGACTCTAATTTTCCCTTTTAATAACCTGATAATCCCAGAGATTCACATACTTTTGCCATACATAAATAGGTAACTTTGGTTCATTTTCCTCAATAAATAAACAACTACCGATAGTCCTTGACTTACAACAGTTCATTTAGTGACCATTCAAAGGGAAAATGGCACTGAAAAAAGTGACTTATGGCCATTTTTCACAGTTATGACCTTTGCAGTATCCCCAGGGTCATGTGATCAAACTCCAGCTGTTTGGCAACTGGTTCATATTTATGACAGTTGCCGTATCACCGGTTAGGTGATCCCCTTTTGCAACCTCCTGACAAGCAAAGACAATGAGGAAGCAAGTTTCACTTAACAACCGGGTTACTAACTTTATCAACTGCAATGATTCACTTAACAACTGAGGCAAGAAAAATTGTAAAATGGGGCAAAACTCACTTCACAAATGTCTCACGTAATAATAGAAATTTTGGGCTCAATTGTGGTCATAAGTCAAGGACTACCTATACAATGTTTTGACCTACTTCTTTAATTGGATTACCTTTATTTGATTTTAAGATTTGTGTGAAAAACTGATCACGCTTTAGATCATAGTTATGAAGAAATATTAATTCTTCATAACTATTCTGGACTAGGCTCCAGCTGGTCCAGAATGCGGCCGCACGGGTAGTTATGGGAGCGACGTGGCGCTCCCATGTGACTCCCCTCCTGCGCGAGCTGCACTGGCTCCCGGTGGTCTTCTGGCTGCGCTTCAAGGTTTTGGTTACCACCTTTAGAGAGCTCCATGGCTTAGGACCGGGGTATCTACGAGACCGCCTTCTGCCACCAGTAGCCTCTCACTGACCAGTACGCTCCCATAGGGAGGGGCTTCTCAGGGTGCCGTCGGTCAAACAATGTCAACTGGCGGCCCCCCCGGGGGAGAGCCTACACTGTGGGGGCACCTGCCATCTGGAATGAACTCCCCCTGGAGATACGGAGGATCTTGAATCTGAAACAAGAGATTCACACAAGATACGTATGTGTGTTTGTCTGTCTATATCTATGTATGTGTGAATGGTAATGCTGTCAGTTTTACTGAGTGTTAGCCATAAAGAAAATGGGGAAAGGAATGATTGCCATCTGCTTTCCAGTGGGGTCAGGCATAACTGAGAAGGGATGCAAAAACTGCATGGAAAAGATTATTACACACCTTCCCTTTGCATCTAGAACTGCAGAATTGTATCAACTGGTTATCCAGAGCTGTGACAAAAACAACCTATTTTTTACAATTGGTACTTCTTTCCTCTCCTTTCCTTTCCTACTGCCAGAACTATAATATAGTATTCACTGTGTGTTCACATATACTGTTCAATGCTGTTTTATATATGGAAGATAAAACTCTGACCATGTTGCTGGGAAGCTTATCTTCCTAAGTTTTCTTCTGCCTACATCAACCTATCATCCTTTCTGCCTCACCCCATTTACAAAACAGACCAGCATGAATAGTCCAACTGGTGCATTTTTTTTTGTTTCTTTTTTCTTGTTTATATAACTCCAAAACTTGAGACGAGAAGTTCATTAGTAGTTTGATTATTTTCCCCTGACAGTGTATGAAATGCTTTAGAAAAGTTTATACAGAAAATTTGCGTATGTAACTTTCGTCAGAGCTCTGGAACGCTAAAGGGCTGCTTCAGCCTTCTTGTGAGTTTGTCTTGTTATTTTCAGTTCAAACATTTATTGTCTTTTATAACCAAGAAATCCCCCAGCAAACTGCAATTCCAGAACAAGAAACAAAGATAGATACATACATACACTCAAATGAGTATATTACTGCAATACTAGTATATGCCATATGAGAGTGACTGAACAAATGATAACCTCAAACCAGGGGTGGGTTCTACTTACCTTTACTACTGGTTTGCAACAGGAGCGTGCGTTCATGCGCAGAAGCTTCTGCACATGCGCAGATTGCCAAATATGACGTCAGGAGACCATCTTCATGTACATATAAAAAAGAAGCTAAATTCAAGGCTCTGTAAAATTTGAACAATTGACTGTACTGTCTATTAAAAATCAGTCTAGACATTACTAAGTCACAGGGAAGTAAAGATTTGTTAGTTTACTCAAAACAGGTTTCTTATCAAGTTAGGCATAGAAGACAAGGGAAGGGATAGAATTGAGTTGCCGGTTGTTTTTAATTTTGCATTCCTTTAATTGTGCTTTGCTTCCTATCCATTGTTCTGCTGTTCCATAAAACTATTCTAGTCGCAGAAGCAGTGTTATGTCTTTGATTCTTTATATTTTAAAACTCCAGAGGATGTCTTGAAGAGAACCCCTTGGCCTCTTTCTGCCCAGGCTGACTAAGTTGCAACACAATTCTTGCCAC